TTTGTATCAATATCTAATACGAGTATCATTTTTATTTAATTTGGGGTCAAAGTTTACCAATTTTGAACGAAAAAAGTCAAAAGTGGACAAATAGTACGAGACGGAGCGAGTATATGTTTTATATTCGGTTTAACACTTTCACTATATCTCCCATGGTCGCTCCTCTCTACAATTGGCACAAATGATTGTAATATACATTTACATGCATGATGATGTCAATGTTTAGCAGGCTGTAGATCTAGATGTATATGTTCATTTTTACATTAAAGGGCGATGCATATCTTTACTCCTCTTGGTTTTGTTTATACATATGTCTTTTATCCACAAGTTTGATGTTATGCTGACATTGAAGGCTGATCTTATTTCATGTTTGCCCAATTTTTCACAGAATATTGTTAAAATTGCATTAAATGCCAAGTTGTACATAGTAGGCTGGATGAGTTTATAACTGATGGAACCAACTCACCTTCAGTTCGAACATAGTTTTCTATGAGCTTCCAGTTCTTTTATTTATTCGGTTAACCATTCACTTGCAACTAATGGCATCAATATCTTCTTCAAATCTATTGGGTCTGGCATCTGAAGAAATATTGGATGTCCCCCAAACTCCTAGAGGTCTTCCTCGACTGATGACTGTTCCAGGAATCATCTCTGATGGTGACTCAGATGGCATGTCATCCACTTGTCAAGAACGAAAAATCATAGTGGCAAATATGTTGCCGTTGCATGCTCATAGGGATGAAGGAACTTCAAAATGGTGCTTTAGCTTTGATGATGACTCGCTTTACTTGCAATTAAAGGATGGTTTTCCTAGAGACACCGAGGTTATATATGTTGGCTCTCTCAAGGTTGAAATAGATGGCAGTGAACAAGAAGAAGTTGCACAGAGACTACTGGATGAGTTCAAGTGTGTACCGACTTTTCTACCCACTGAAATCCATAAAAAGTTTTATTATGGTTTTTGTAAGCAACAGTTGTGGCCTCTAATCCATTACATGCTACCGATGTGCCCAGATCATGCTGATCGATTTGATCGTCATCTTTGGCAGGCTTATGTTTCTGCCAACAGATTGTTTGCAGATAAGATTATGGAAGTTGTTAACCCTGAGGACGATTATATCTGGGTTCATGATTATCACCTTATGGTTCTCCCTACATTTCTGAGGAAGCGTTACAATCGCATCAAACTAGGATTCTTCCTCCATAGTCCATTTCCTTCATCAGAAATATACCGAACCTTGCCAGTTAGGGATGAGATTCTAAAAGGGTTGCTAAACTGTGATCTGATTGGTTTTCATACCTTTGATTATGCCCGCCATTTCCTCTCTTGCTGTAGCAGAATGTTAGGTCTTGACTATGAATCTAAACGAGGGCATATCGGACTTGATTACTTTGGACGCACAGTCTATATCAAAATTTTGCCTGTAGGTGTACATATGGGGCGATTGGTGTCTATTTTGAATCTCCCCTCAACATCTGACAAGGTCAAAGAAGTCCAACAGCAGTTTATAGGGAAAAAAGTTGTTTTAGGTGTTGATGATATGGACATATTTAAGGGCATCAGTCTCAAAATGATGTCTTTTGAACTACTTTTGCAACAACATCCAGAGCTCCAAGGTGAGGTTGTTCTAGTCCAAATTGTGAATCCTGCTCGGAGCTCTGGGAAAGATGTTCAGGAAGCAAAGAGGGAGACATATTCAACTGTTGAAAGGGTCAACAAACGGTATGGTTTCCCTGGATATGACCCTATAGTCTTGATCGATCGACCCGTTGCTCACTATGAGAAGGCTGCATATTATTCTGTTGCTGAATGCTGTATAGTGAATGCAGTGAGGGATGGGATGAATTTGGTACCCTACAAGTATATCGTCTGCAGACAGGGAACAGAAACCAATTCTCCTCGCACTAGCATGCTTGTTGTGTCAGAGTTCATTGGTTGTTCGCCATCTTTGAGCGGAGCAATCCGGGTGAACCCTTGGGATATTGAAGCTGTGGCTGAAGCACTTGATGTTGCACTAACCATGCCTGATCCAGAAAAGCAACTCCGCCATGAAAAACACTACCGGTATGTTAGCTCCCATGATATTGCGTATTGGGCCCGCAGCTTTATGCAGGATCTTGAAAGGGCGACAAAGGATCATTATAACAAACGTTGTTGGGGTATTGGTTTGGGCCTTGGTTTTAAAGTCATTTCACTTTCTCCGAGTTTTAGAAAGTTGTCTTCCGATCACATAGTTTCATCTTACATAAGGACAAACCGGAGGGTGATATTTTTGGACTATGATGGCACAATTGTACCTCAATCGTCCATTGTTAAATCTCCTGGCGCAGAAGTCATTACATTCCTAAATGCTCTGTCCAATGATCCAAAGAACACAGTGTTCATTGTCAGTGGCAGAGGTAGAAGTTCGTTGGACGAATGGCTTTCACCATGCGAAAGGCTTGGAATAGCTGCTGAACATGGTTATTTTATAAGGTATTAACAAATCAAGATTTTTTAAACGTATTCTTCACTTGATTTATATTTGCTATTTTTAGTGCCCGTATGGACCTTATCTATATATGCACTGTAGAAGACCCACTGCTCTTTTTTTGAAATCTGGTTAACAGGTGGAATAAATCGGCCGAATGGGAATGCATGGATGCTGATATTGACTGGAAAGGAATTGTTGAGCCTGTAATGAGACAATATGCTGATGCAACTGATGGCTCTTTTATTGAATCTAAAGAGAGTGCTCTGGTTTGGCACCATCAAGATGCAGACCCTGACTTTGGCTCTTGCCAGGCTAAGGAGTTGCTTGATCATTTGGAAAACGTACTTGCCAATGAACCCGCTGTTGTCAAGCGGGGACAACATATTGTCGAAGTCAAACCACAAGTGAGTTCTTTTCTCCGTTTTCCCATTTCTCGCCTATCCTTGTTTTAAAAATCTTTGTATAGGCGTTAGGCTCTCTTTGACCGCTCACAATTAAACCTTATTTCGAGACAAAGACAAGAGGGAATAGCTGATAAGATGATCTATATGCAGGGTGTAACCAAAGGTCTAGTTGCAGAGAAGGTTCTATCAGCAATGGTGAAGAGTGGGAAACAGCCGGATTTCGTGATGTGCGTCGGGGACGACAGATCAGACGAAGACATGTTCGAGAGCATAATAAACTCGGTTACCAGCCTTTCCCTTAACTCTGTGCCCGAAATCTTTGCATGCACCGTCGGGCAAAAACCGAGCCGGGCCCGGTATTACCTCGACGACATCGCTGATGTCATCAGGATGCTTCGGAGCCTTGCCAGCGAATCAAGCCCGAAGCCACCACCGCCCGTACAAACCGTTCATTTACGAGCTGCTTTCGAGAGAATGATGGACCCTGCCACCTTTTGTTGATGATGTTTTCAGCTGTTCTGAAGTATAACTTTTTTCTGTTTCTTTTTTTCTTCTTCTTTTTGGGGGTTTTCTTTCTAATCAGTAGTGGAATAGGTAGATTGGGCGCTCATTAATGGTCTCTCCAAACATATGTTTTCTGCCTATTATTACTACTGCTCTAAAGGTGTTGGGTTTATATATTACAGACAATATAATATGGTACAGAAAAATTTCCAGTGGAGTTTCCTTTTTGTCTTTCTTTTGCTTCATTGCTGGCGGCGCAAATGGTGAGCCACCGCCCATTGCGGCGGCAGGTGGCAGTTCAAATATCCATACATCCCGGCGATGCCAGCAGTGGGGTCAAAACCTATATCTGTTTTTAAAGTCAGTGTTGCGCATTTAAGAGTTCGTTGGGAAAGATGAAAAATACGAGTCACTTTTAAATTTTTATACCAATTTTTATTTGTAAATTTATTTAGATATAATTTTAGTAAATATTTTGAGTCTGAAAAATCAAAAATAAAAAATTGGGTGGATTAGCATTTTGAGTTGGTTGTTCGGTGAAATAGAGCCAAAATTTTACCATTTTTTGGCTTTGGGATGTGATGGAATAAATCAAAATGAATCTCTAAACTGTTTGCGCTTCTTTAATTAATGAAGTAGTTTAATCAAGCAATGCAACTTTCAACGTTGAGTCGGGGGTCTCTTTGGAAACAATCTCTACTTTCAAGTAGGGGTAAGGTCTGCGTACACACACCCTCCCCAGACCCTACTCTTGTGGGATTTTGTTGGTGTTGTTCGGTGAAATAGAATTTTTTTTATTAATTGTCATTGTAAATATGTTTTTGAATAGACAAACAAATAATTTTCGAGGGATTGTAAACAAACAATAGGTATAAATAAATATATTGTAAATGTTCCCCCTTCCCAAAATAAAATCGAGGGATTTACTAGATAAAATATTTTTTTTTATTTTTATTTTATTTCAAAATTTATTTACAAATAAAAAAAATTATATTAAATTTTTCATCAATCCAATCTCTGTTTCCCCATGATGAACTTCTACAAGGCAAGTTAGTGGAGTATAACAAACAACATCTCATAAAATAAGAACTTGGGGTACAAGGGGAGAGATTCTTGGTCCAACATCATTGTGACTTTCAAAAATTAGAGGTCAGATGTTCTCATGTTCAAACTTAAATGGGAATATTGACTCTTTGTTTGCAGGTTAGAATAAATATGTTTATAAACAGAGAAACAAAGAATTTCACTGCCACAATATTGACGACTAGTTAGAACTGTTTCTTCAACTTATTCTTATTGGAATCAGATTAAGTCATACCAAGACCACATCAAAATTTTTTTTATATATAACTACAATCAGATCAGATCATATTAGATCATACATTCTTTCATAAAATCAAATCAGACATAGAGAACAAGCTCTTAATGATGTATCTCGATCATCCATCCCACATTTGGGGTAAATGGTAGAGAAGACTGTAGGCATTGCATTGTCAATTCAAACAAGCGATAAAGCAAAATAGAACACCAAGCATTAAATATGGTATGCTCCAACAAGCTAATGATACAATTCCAAATGGTATAAGTGATGATTATATCATTTTGCCATTGTTGAAATATAAAGCAAATTGATATATTGCTTAACTAGAAGTGACATATACAACAACAAAGCAACCAAATCCCACAAAAACTAGGGTATGGGGAAGGTGCGTGTAAACAAACCTTACCTGCAAGTAGTGTTTGGGGAGGATGTGAGTAACCCACATATACTAGAGAAAGAATACAATAAACAAAGTTGGTTGTTAGTTTGGTCAGAGGTAAAAATGCATTATTATTTTTGCCAAGGAAAGCTTCTAACCCAATTAGTTAACGGAAGCAAAAAGCAAAGATGAATTTGTTCCCCCAAAACCAAACGAGTTCGACAACGCAGCCTTAACCTCTATTTGTTTTGAGGTTGTCAATGGCATGAAATGTTTAGTAAATATGGTGTCCGGATTTTTAAGGTTGAGTGTCAAAGGCACAATTCCCTGCGATAAAACATTGCAACGATCAATGGCCTACAAAAAATCCAACTGAGAGCACGGGCTACTTCCAATACTTGCAACCACATAAAAATATCAAACTTAACTTAGGGCTGGTCCAGGTGGTTGCCGGTTTTTAGTTTTATGGGTTTAAAAGTTACTCGGGGTATATGATATACATTATTATATAATAAACCAAAGCTAATCATAGCTAAAAACCATTTTTTCTGCCTTTCTGATTTACGAAACCTGACATTTAATGTTTTTGAAAAACTTAAAGGTTGTAACTCAAAAGTCAACACCACCAGAGCATTGGCCTAAGAATTTAATTTTGAAGGAACCCAATATAGTATGAATGCAACAAAAGTGTCATACTACGTACATGGTGTATCGTCAATACAGTGAAAATAGCTTCTACAGCTCCGGCTGCTCCAAGTAAATGCCCGATCGCACCCTGATGTTTTGGCACAATAAAAAAGCAGCCCAAATGAAGGATATGGTACAATCTCTCTTGGTTTCTATGAAACAAGATAAACAAGAAAACAACAAACCCAGTAAAGGCCCATAAAGTGGGGTCTGGGGACCTTACCTTATTCAGAAAGTAGAGAGGCTGAAACAAGATGAATATTAAAGAAATAACAGTTACTACCATAACGTCCATTTCTAAATGGCGGAAGTAGGATGGAGAGTATCTCCCCTTATGTCTTAGAGGTCGAGGATCAAACCCCACCTCTTTGCAAAAGTCATGGGAAAGGTGTCCTAATTTATTACTCCCCTGGCCCAACGACATTTTCACTGAACGAACAAGTAGGGCGTGTTTGGTTGGGGGATTTTGGAGGGGAGAGGGAGATTGATTTTGTGTTTATAAGGTATCTTTTTTTCCTAATTTAAGCCTATTAAAAAGATAAGAGTCTGGATCACTAGTGTCTGCAGGCTGCAGCTCTTGTCCTAATATCTTCTGTTTATTTAATAATAATGCAAAAAAAAAAGGTAGCCATAGTAGCAGGACTTTGATGATTGAAAGATTTGCAACCACCTCAACTCTGAACATACCTTAGTCGAGGAAAAGGCGAGATCTTGTGAAGCCGCATAATCGGAAAATACATGTTTGATTGCATTAGCTTCCACAGTATCACCTGAGAAAGAATAATATTTGGTTCATTGCTGAGTAGTTAGTTAAGAAGTTAAAATTTCACCAGTGGAAGTTCAGAATTTTATCAAATAATAATTTCCTGATATCTTTTAGTTATACCCAAAGGTGTGGATGTTGCATGTGCATTTATGTAGTCCACTTGGTTAGGACGAAGACCAGACTGCAAAGAGACAAACACAAAACAAAGAAAAACCAATTATAGCAAACTAGTTTTAGGATGAAACCAAATCTTCACTACCCTATCAGAATGAAATGGTAGGCTGTACACACATAATAGCCATCAGTAATAATTTGGGGAGGCTATGGTTTCTCTACCTTCTACTTTTCAATGCCTAAAGTGCATATTAATACTCTTTCCGCCAAAAAAGAGTCATGTTTGGAATACTGAACTCGACACTCCAAACAACTGAACAATGCTATTTAATGAATAAAGAATGATATGAACACACATAATCAGGGGGTTAAGAGTACAATTTAGTCGTAGAGTGCTTCTTTGGTGCACCTTGGGTGCATACCATTTTTGTGGACCTTCTCACATAAAAAATCTTTTTTTAAAAAAAAAACGGATGCTTATTTAAGTAGTAAGGAAATGCTTATTTTACTCATATGTAGGACCATGGTTGACCTTAGGTCCACCAAAGAATTTGCCTTAGTCGTAAGCTGCCCGCCATAAATAAAAAACAATAGGCTTAGGTTCCAATTTCACATCAAATGTAACTGAAGAAAAGATTACACATAATTGTCTGCGCTATGTAAGTAGTAAAATCTCAATGCCTCATTATCTCACCTGCTTCAAAGCACGACTCATTGCCAAAACAGCACCTCGCCCGTCTAAATGTGGTTGAGTTATATGATATGCATCACCTGACCAAGTTAGTGACTTATGTCAAATGAAAAGCCAAAACACAATAGAGTACTCAAGCATATGCAGCAGCATAGATTTCAACCCAACCTGAGCTTCCATAACCACGAAGTTCAGCGTATATCTTAGCCCCACGCTTCTTTGCATGTTCCAATTCCTGTAGAAATTAAATAAAATGTATCAAATTTTTAATAATTAAAAATCTAATGCACTAACCTGAAAAACAAACAGAAATTTTCTATTTACCAGCAATATGATTATAAATCAAAACACCAATTCAAATGATTGATGCAGAAAATAGAAAACAGTACACGTGAACAAGGAACTGACCTCTAACACACAAATACCACAACCCTCACCGATGCTGCATCTCAGTAATGCAGGTGAAACATCAGAGACAATGCAACATTTCAAAACTAAGAAATAAAAGATGGCCTGTATAATTTACGTTATCTCTTACACAAATCCATCCCGGTCACAATCAAATGGCCTTGAAGCTTCTTGTGGTGTAGAATTATAATTGGTAGTCAACGCTCTTAACCTGCATTAGAGAAAGACTGCATTGCATATAAAAAATATTGAAAGAAAACCATCAAGAGAACATATTCAGAATTCTAAGATGGTGCATGTAGAATAAAATAATTTCATATATGTTCATGTTCAAACTATTAAGTGTCGTTTTCATTTTCAAGTTAAAAAAAGTACAGACTGAGCTTATAATGATAAATATATTAAGATGAAGTATGGTCTTCTTCAAGTTTCAAAAAGGTGCATACGGGTGCTGAAAAGAGAAAAGCATTAGGGTGAAGGAACCTAAGCTAATTTCCTAGTTTTAAGTCCCCTGACAATCACTGATATTGATATCAGTGAAATGCGACAGGAATTCAAATAGAGCACCGAATTCAATAACCGTCTATGATATATGAAAGAATGTATATTAAAAGAGAGCTAAAAACAATTACAAAAGTTGAGCATTATTACCTACAAAACCCTGCAATAGATAAAGCATCAATACTGGCTTCTGTCCCTCCAGCAACCATGACATCAACATCACCAAACTGAATCATCCTAGCAGCATCTCCAATTGAATGAGCCCCCGTAGCACAAGCTGTCACTGCAGCATGGTTTGGTCCCTAAATTCAAATAGAGTAGAATATATGCCCCACTCTCATTTTTGGGTTGTCCCAAAATTATATCCAGTTTCTTTTTAAACTCTACTAACTTTAAAATTTTCCAATTTATCCTTTTTAGAATTTCACGCGTTGAGTTTTCTGCACAACTTTTTTATAAAACTTTCCCACCTTTTAAGTCCGTCCACTGCCAATGAAGCTAAAAGAGTCATTATTGACAATGTTTTAGTTTTAGGCACATACAACATCAACCCAGTTGAATCCCACATGAATCCCACAGAAGTGGGGTTTGGGGAGTGAGTTTTAGTTTTAGGCACATAATGGACTAAATTAAAATGGCACATTAAACTTTCCTCACTTCATATTTTCTACTCCCTCTGTCCCAAAATAAAATTCCACTTTACTATTCACATGATCAAACAATCATGGTTGTTAAGTCGACAAGTCGAGTCGAGTCGGTCAGGGGGAGACTAGTGCACTAGTCGACTAGTCGTAGACTAGTCGACAAATCACAATTAGTATTGAAACTTTTAACGTTATATATATCTTCATTCACTACAAATAACTATATATATATATATATATATATATATTTATATGACAAAATATCATTACCAAAGCAAAATTATATTTAAAAATAGCACATAAAGTCACATACCAAAGAGTACTTAAGAAACAAATATCCAACAAGGATAATAAGCACAAAAAGTAGTCAAAGAACATATTAATATCTAACTTCTCGTTTTGAGTTATCAAATATCATCATCCAAGGTTATGTCACAATTGATTTGTTTGTGGCATAATGTGCATTCCACAAGATTTTTGTTGTTCATATTTGGCCAAAACCCATATTTCCGTCTGGTGGCTCCGTCATGGATCCAACGGATCCAATTGGAGTGAGCGATTAGAGAACCAATAATTTTGGATCAGAGTGCAGCAACAGACTGAGGGCATTTGTGGAAAGTCAATAAAAATTTTACACTTCCTTAAAAATCATTCCCAGTCAAAGTGGGAAATTAAATATAGGACGGAGGGAGTGTTATTTAACTCTACACCAATTTTCAAATAAAATGAATTGAAAATAATTTCACTCAAACATCACAAACCACAAGTGGAACCTTTTTCTCGGATGGAGGGAGCATGAAGTTATGGGTAGTAAATGCAGCAAATCATCTATGGTCTAATGGTAACAAACTCTCTTTTTTTACAAGGGTAAGATTATGTAATATCTCGACTCTCCAGACCTCAACGGTGTTGGAATTATACTACGCTGTTGTTGACTTGTTGTTACCCACCTTTTAACGGGCAAAATTGGAAAGTTGATTGTATATCATTTGTTTTCTTGATATCCGCACAAATAACATTTTATCCTAATTCTCGAACTAGTTGAATAGTAGGATGAGAATGATGCCAGTAGTATCTTCAAAAGCATTTGTTCAACATTAACATAATATGCACCTGTTATGAATTACATACCTGAAACCCATATTTCATGCTCACATGACCTGAAGCCATGTTAATAAGTATCCGTGGGATGAAAAATGGACTGATCCGACGTAAATTCTGCAATAAAAGAATGTTATGTGTATGGTTTTTTAAAAAAATATGCTTATGAGTTATAATCAAGTAACACGCCTTAGTTTGTAGAAAAAAACTCAATAAAAATATTTAAGATGAGTAATACTCCCTCCGTCCAAATAATATTTTCTCGTTGCGTGTTACGATGTTTGACTGAAATTATTTTTAAATCATTTTATATGAAAAAATAGTGTGGAGTTAAAACATAAAAATTACATATTTAAAAATTACATGAAACGATCTACAAAACTAAAGGGCATGACTATATTATTTTATTAAATGGGCAACGAAAGTAGTCCAACAAAGTAACTGAAGTTTGACACCGTGGATAGTGAACGAGAAGATAATTTTTGGACGGATGGAGCTTAAAAAATAGCTCTATAAATAAACTTAAGTGGGCCTGCTAATTCAGTTGGATTCTGCGTCAGTTTACTTTGAAATGCTCTTTGAGATGATTTAGAATCCAAGCTTTTGAATACTTATAATCTGCTTTTTAGGTAAAAATGACTCTAAGCACAAAGTATTATTTAGAACTAGATAAGCATTAAGAAATTAAGCATGAATACACCTAAGAAAACTTCATTCAAATTGAGCATATGTATGCTTAAAAAAACTAACTTTTAAAAAGATAACACTCAAGTTGTCATCAACTAACCTTCTCGCATATCATTTTGGATGCATCCATAATATCGACGATGCTTCCAATCCCAGCACCAATGGAGACTCCCTAATGCAATTATGCTTACACTCCAAAAAAACAAGAGAAAATATCCAATTCTAAGAGAAAATGAAAAATAAATACATACTGTCCGTTCCTTTTCATCCAAGGTGGAGGGTATCCAATTAGCATCCTTGAGGGCTTCATCAGTAGCACACAGTGCATACCCTATAAACTTTGCAACTGATCTATGCTCCTGCAAAAATATTCCAAGAGTAGCACCCACTAATTCTCAACTTTCTCGTTAATGTGTCCTGCCCTTAAATCAACTATGGGAAATTATTGTCCAGGTTTTGTTCAGCATGTCACTATAGTACCAATAAAAACGTATATTTACGGGTTCAGATTTTGGAAAAGGGAAAATTGTGCAAAGTATTGAGTAAATATGAAATGAACAAGCTTCAAAGCATTACTGCAGATCAGTACTTTGGAATTGAGCCACAACTCGTCGTGGAATTCCCCTGGGCTAGTTCCACAAGGCACTGCCGCGGCAACTTTTGATGTCAGCTGATCAAATGCTGACAGCCGAACTTCTCTATCAAAACCATTCATCTTCAAGTCATCAATAGTTATTGCTCTTACACCACATTCACCTTCTATCAGTCTCTTCCAAGTAGTTTTGACCCCACAGCCAAGTGGTGTCACCATGCCAATACCTGTCAACAAAAAGGAAAAATACGAGATAATGGCAAATCCTTCATCCCTGCACCCAAAAGAATTTGATTGTTCCAAAATTGCTTATTAACAAATGTTTTCAAACAAAAAGTGAGTCTCATTATATTATAATAAGGGTGTTTGACGGTGCTTTTGGCGAGTGATTTTTATCTTTTGTATTGGATAGAAGCACATTGTTAATGTTTGGCAATGCTTTTTCTAACTCATTATCAACTTTTAGCAGAGAAGGCCAGAGATAGAGAAGCATAAGTTGAGAAGCATCTTTGGGATGATTTTGGTTTTTGTGTTTAAAATAAACCATTTTCCAAAAGCTTAATCGACGCCAAACACCTTCAATAAATTATACTGATAATCCATTATGCATTAACAACAGATTATTCAATTCTGGGCAATTTCTAATCCACTCAAACCTAGAGTGTGTTTGGGTCTGTGATATATTTCTGAAAAAAAGCAAAATTTATAAGTAAAAGCGGAAAATCAAAATAGAAGTAATAACATAAAAGCAAAAGAGATTCTCAAACACAATACATTGCATTTTAATGAAACAGAAACTCAAAAAAAAAAGGTTTCAAAACGCCATCCTTGAATGTTACAAATGGATATTATAGTTATTCGAGACTTGCTCGATTCAGAACACTAGAATTCAGGATTGTGTCGATTCAGAAAACTTATCGGCCAGGGCATAAACATTTGGCGTGCATCGAAATCAAAAGAAAAGATAAACAGATCATAGTAAATACCAGTGACAACAACTCTTCGAGGAGGATGAAATGTGGCCGGGTGAAAAGAGTCCGAAGAGAAGGACCGGCGAAGGTGGAGGCGGGAAGGGACGTATCTGAACCAGTTTCCCCCTGTCATCGTTGCAACTGAGCAGAGGGTAGCGATGGAGCCTGGACGTATCTGAACCAGTTTTCCCTCGGTTTATTTTATCAAACATTAAATATACCAAAGACTTTTATATATTTTTTTCTATTTAAAATACATTTATATTATGGTCATCTATATTATCAAAAAGTATAATAATGGAATCGTTTTAGAAAATCGGGAAAGAAATAAAAGGCGAAGAGTTTTATATAACTGATGGAGTATAATTTGTGCCCCAACCTCCAAAGTTCATAGTTAATATGTACGTGATTTAGGTAATGACATAGTTTTTCCATTATCAATAAAATTTTAGAAAAAAACTTAACATTACATTAATTTTGAAAAAATGTTAAAGTTCTTACTTCGGATTTGTAGGAAAGTTAATAAAATGAGACTTGGACGTATTTCATGACGCTCTAGTATTTAAAAAGTTGCAACATCATTTGAAGGTTTAATACTCCCAAAAAAATGAATTACATGTTATTTTAAATTTTATAAAGTGTAATTATAAAGAAATCATTTTATATGGACTTATGGAGTAATCAATGAATGAGTTGAGTAGCACGCATTTAATAAAGTAATTTAAAACTAAAATTCAATACAAGTTAATCTCGTTACAAATAAACATATTTGAGAAATTTTACAAACCAACAAAATAAGATATATTATAGATTAAGTAATCCAATAACTCTATTTTTTATGTGAGCTCTATAATCATAAGTGGAATTTAACTTTTTTATACAAATTGGGACATTACTTTAGTTCTTTATTTATTCACATTGATAATAATAACAATAATGATGACGACGATGATAGTAATAATAATCATAATAGTAATAATAATATTACAACTACTAATTGTAACAAGGGTAATAATATGAAAGTACGTCTAAATAATTTTGTAAGTTAGTGTTCAAAAAAGGGAAAATATTCTATGTGAAATATCATATTTAAAATTAATTATGTTAAAAAAAATTAGAATGATCCAGAAGAAACTACAAAAAGTTAAAAAAAAATTAATTAAAAATTACTCTAAGTTTTATAACACAAAAGGACAAAGATTATATGTGAAATATCATATGTGATAAAAGACATTTTTAGGAATTTATTCTTCAATCAAAAAGGAATGAAAAAAATGAATGAAAGAATAATCAAAAATGCTAGGGGTACACCATTTGAGGTACCCATTTGTACCCCCTCCATCTTCACCACACAAAGCAAGAGAGAGAAAAAAAATTAAAAATAAAAAAATAAATGAAAGGCTAGAATGTATGGTGTACAAATTAGGATACCCCAAATGGGGTACCCCTAGCATTCCTCAAGAATAATACTCCCTCCGTCCCAAAAAGTCTTTTCTGTTTCATTTTTTGCGCATCCCATAAAACACTTCTATCCCGTCTTGAATGCCAAAAAAACTTTCAAAATAACTTCTACCCATAATAAAGAAGAAATTTTGTAAATTTTTGGCATTTTAGATGTCGTTAGAAGTGTTTTATGGGATATACAAAAAATGAAATAGGAAAGACTTTTTGGGACGGAGGGAGTAGATTGTTAAAAAAAGAGTAATGTGAACAAAAGTTTTCACTTTGTTCTCAACTCCCTAGTGTGAAAAAGACCTAACACACCCATCTCACTTTTTTATTTTCATGATGATGAAAGAAAGAAAACCAGAAAAAAGAAAAGGCAAAAGGGGGAAACAATCTGAAAAAGGCCACACAAATGCGCTCTCTCTCCTCCTCAGTGCTGCCCTCTCTCCGTCGCACAGTCGCACTTCCCCTTTTCCCGGTTCCCACCTGGGTATAATGATGCAAGCAAACAGCAGCAGCAGCTCAATCTGAACTAGATTGGGCCCAACCCAAATCTTGAATCGTCGATCAAAAGAGAGTTTTTGCTCCATTTCTCCCAAGGAAAAGAAAGGGTCCGCCATGGCCAGAAATGGGTTGCTTCTGGTTCTCACTCTTCTTCTCCTCTCTGGGTCTCTCTCTTCTGCTGCAGTTTCTCCCTCTCCTTCAAGTAAGCTTATGGTTAAACAGTTTTATGCTTTTCTTTGAACTGGTTTTCACTGTTATGAGTTTCTGCTGTTTGATCTCGCTTTGGTTTTGAATGGGTCATTAACTTCCAATTTTCTCGTCTGTCTATTTATGAGCGATGATGGGTTTCTCACATTTTTTTTCTTAATTTGGAAACAGGAGTTGTGAATGGGGCTTTGTCAAATGCGGTATCTAAGCTGATGAAATTGTTTCGGCCTTCCAAAGCTCCCAAAAAAGGTATATAGAATCTGTAGATCCATCCACCTACCAAAGCTCAATTGGATGTTATCTTTATTAACCTTCAGATTGTGAAATTTAAAAAGAAATTCTATTCCCTTTTGGTAAGCCTGAATGAATTCATATGTGTGGTATTTTTCTGGGTCAATTGACTATGTTGTCATCAAGCTGGATCAACCTCGGGGCAGGAGATCTTGGAGCTGATATGGCGTAGTCAGTAACATTTCTAGTTTTTGGGAGGCCCTTAGTGGAAAACTAGGTAGGGGTTTTTGTAATGGGGCTGAGATAGGCAATAGCCTGTAATAGTATTTGGGCAGCAAGATATTTGCTATTGGAACTGGGTTGGATTTTTGAACTTTGGACATTTGATAGGCTTAATACATGTTTTACCTTTGGCTTGATTCATGTGATTTATTGTGTGTATGTGTGTGAGCAGCGGCTGCTAGGCGACCAACGGTGAAGTTTGAGAGTGGGTATACAGTGGAGACAGTTTTTGATGGAAGCAAGCTTGGGATTGAGCCTCACACAGTGGAGGTCTTGCCAAGTGGGGAGCTCCTCATCTTGGATTCTGCTAATAGTAATATTTACAAGATTTCTTCCTCTTTGTCTCAATGTAAGTGTTCATTTAGTCTTTTAAGTATGAATTTGGTATTGTGTATTATGATCTGTTTGGAGCCAATAAAATACTTGGGAAAGTAAATAGAAAGAGAACTAGAGGGTAAAATTGGCAGGAAAGAAAATAGGAAATCTCAAACTACAACAAATAAAACTCAATATAAGCCCAACTTTGTTAAGGTTTGGGGGGTCGAGATGTATGCAACCTTATCCCTGCAACAACTCATCAAGTGCAATTCAAGTATTTTTGACTCAACTTGTCTCTCAGTTTGAATAGAGATGAGCTTCTATTTTGAGCTCCTAAGCCTTGGCTTTGATACCATGTAGAATTGTGAGATTCCATCACAAAAACAAATTGACAGTTGTAGGAGGAACTCATATTCTTATATATATTAGTCATTTTTAGCCCGGGCATTCAACGTGACACTAAGCCAATGGCATTAAATAATGTTTGTTTTCTAAAATAAATCTGGGATAGTTACAGACACCCGACCAAGGTTGATTGCTGGTTCTGCGGAGGGGCACTCAGGACACGTGGATGGTAAAAAGCGGGATGCGAGGTTGAACCATCCCAAGGGGCTTACAGTTGATCACAAGGGAAATATTTACATTGCAGATGCTGATAATATGGCAATTAGGAAGATTAGTGAAACAGGTAATTCAGTTCATTAGTTTCCCACACGTTGATGAATGTTCCTTTCTCTCGCAAGCTGTATCATAATGTATGTGACCAAGGGGAGACCTAATGTCAAGGCAGATTTAGTAGTTGATTTTTAAATCATAGCTCTATGAAGAAATTAGGAGCCCGTTTGGTGATGGTTTAATCAGTTGAATTTTCGGTAAGGAAAAGAGTTTGGTTCAAGTCAAATAGTCAATCTCAACCAAATGAGTATGTCTAAAGTTACTTGTTTTGTTAATTCCATTTAGAGGGTGTTTGGGAGTGATTAACTTGTGGGTAAAGTTATTTTCACAAAAGTTGAAAGTAGAAGCACCATATATATGCTTCTCCGTAATGGTGTTTTATGTAGAAAATGATGGTGATAAAAAGTAGAAGTTGGTATGCCAAACTGAATAAAATGATTACCACTTAAAGCAGAAGCTAAATCCTGAAAAGCAACATAGTGCCAAACACCCTCTTAATCTGCTGAATAAACTGCTTTTGGCTATGAAATGGGCTCTAGCTGTTATGGTCACTTCTTTCTCTACAACTACGCATCAGCTGAATACAAATCTTAGGCTTTACAAAAAACAAAAAGGTTAATGTTAGATGTGATCATATATAACATTTCAATCACCTTTTAATTTTCGTAATAGCAACATTCTATTTCCTCCGTCCAAACACATTATTATATAACATTCAAAGAAGCTAGTTTTCAAACAATGAAGTGTTCCTTGTCCCAGGAATGACAACAATTGCCGGAGGCAAAGGGAGCCGCGGAGGCAGCAGTGGTGGTCATGTTGATGGGCCAAGTGAAGACGCAAAGTTTTCAACCGACTTTGATGTGGTCTATATTGGAAGCAGCTGCTCTCTCCTTGTCATTGACAGAGGGAATCAAGCGATTCGGGAGATCCAACTTCATTTTGATGACTGTTCGGACCAGTACGAAAGTGGCTTCCCCCTAGGTGAAATTTGCATCTTCCTCTCATCTTAGTTTCTGTTTTTCAACAACAATAACAGCCAAGTAAGGCCCCAATCCAAAAAATGTGATTTTTTTTGTGTTTCCGAAAGACCCCCGGCTCAAGAAAACATATAAACATGTTAAGACAACTATGGAGTAAAGAAAGGAAATGTAAAATGAAAACACAAAAATAAACAAACCCCTATAAAGGCACCCTTCTACACCTAACTCCCTCCTATATATAACCCTGTGCCCCATTTTGGATTACCCTACAAAATTGATCTTTCGACTTCCAAACTCCCATTTGTGATGAAATGGTGGAATATTGATGATTGGGAACTTGACTCGCAGGTATTGCAGTGCTTTTAACAGCCGGCTTCTTTGGTTACATGCTAGCGTTGCTCCAGCGCAGGGTAGGAAGCATTGTCTCCTCTGAAAAGGTGAGTGTCAAATCCTGTCCTATAAATTTCAGAACACGTATTATATCAATTCACGAAATAGGAATATGTTAATCATTCACTGCCAGAAGCAAAACTCATGTTGACTCTACCATCTTGTGTCATTTGTCATTATTAAGGATGAGAAAACTGTGGTTTCATATAATCCTAATGAGAAACGAGTCATGACATCACCATCGTCATCATCACCGGGAATGCAGCCTCTGTTTCCACACGATGGCCCCGAGGAGAAGCAAGAAGAAACCTTCTTTGGGTCTATGGGGAAGCTGGCGGCCCACACTGGGGAGTGTTTGGTTGACATACTCGGAAGCATTTTCCCGGCATTCATCAGAAGGAAGCCGCAAGGGAATCACATCCCCCCATACCACCAACTTCATAACCATCCAAACACACCCTGGCAAGCTCCTCCTGACAGCTATGACATACCTCGGCACGAGGTGCCTCCTCCCATTGACACTAGGTCCCCGACCCCAAAGAAGGAATATGCCTTCGGGGTGGAGGGTGCCTACGAGAAAATGATCTCATTGCGGGAGAGCTCAGAGAGGACAACCCAGGACTTGTACAAGGCGGTTCACGAGGTGGGCCCCACACTCTCTCGCCACCCTGAGTACGACAATGTTAATTATATTAACCACAGTAGCGCTCGCCCGCGACGCGGCGCGCGCTACAATTATGGGCAGTAGTCGTCGCGCGTGTGCGGAGACGAATTTGTTTCTTGGATGTATAGCAGAACATGTGTTGGTATTTAGGCCTCTGCAAATGAGCTTATGGCTGCAAATGAGCTTATGGGGAGAGATTTTTGGGAGAGGAAAAGAAAAAAAAGTGTTCGGACAAAACACATTGTGAATTGAAGAAATGTTGCCTCCATTGAATGATGTTCCAAATCCCCAAGGAATTTTTATTATCTATAAAGTCATGTTTGGATACCAAACAAAAACAACATTCACCTCAATTATTAATATACTCCGGTATTATTATTATTATTATTATTATTATTATTATTATTATTATTATTATTATTATTATTATTATTATTATTATTATTATATTACTCCGTACATAAATGTGTTACGTAGTATATATTCTCCATTCGTGTTACCTTTGCACGGAGTACGGAGTGATAAATTACTAATGATGTTCCTATAAGGCATTAAGGCTTTGTTTGGCACCCTCTAATTGATATTTCTACCAACACTACTATTATTTCCTCTGTTTGTTCCAATTTAAATTGCTTGTTTCGATTTACAATGTTAGATCAAAATTATTTTCAAATTATTTTATATGAAAAATGGTGTACAATTAAAAAATAAAAAATATATTTAAAGACTAGATCAAAAGATTTACAAAATTAGTGATGACATGATTATATTATTTTATCAAATGACTAACAAAAATAGTGAACATATAAAGTTTAACATTATAAATAGTAAACATGCGATTTAATATGGGAGGGATGAAGTACTATACATTTCTTCCCCAATTATTTGAAATTCCACTCCTACTATTCTAAGGTCATGATATTTTTTGTTTAGTTATGTGTTTTTATCGATTATTCGATTAAACAATATATTCATATTATATTTTATTTTGTGGGACTTTTGATATAGTTTTTAAATATGTAAATTTTATTATTTATCTATATACCAATTGTCAAGTAAAATAAGTTTTTAAAAAAGACTTTTTTTACCTCGTAACTCCCTCAATGAATTTTGATTTGGGAAAGGGGAGTATTTATATTTATTTATTTAAGCAATAAATAATTACTCTGTACAGGGGCGCCCATAGGGGTGTTCATCAGGTGCACCCGCACATGACCGAATTTTCAAGAGGCCCCATTTTATAAATTATTCTTTTGTTATTTTACAATAAAGTTTACGTTTTGATTATAAAAAATATTCTCTCCGTCCCGGAAAACATGAGAGTTTTGATTTTGAAGAGGGATTTAAGGGGAGTGTATTTTGGTATTAAAATTCCAAAAATGTCCTTTGATGTGATGAGTAAAAGTATGATTTGATGGATATATTATTAGTAAAAATGTATGATGTGATAGGTAGAGTATAAAAAAGTAAGGGGTAAAAGTAACTTTTTAATATAAATGAGAAGTGTTTTTTGGGACAGATGAAAAAAGAAAGGAGAAAGATTTTCAGGGACGGAGAAAGTAAAAAATATCTTGGAAAATGTTGAAAAGTAAACCGTGTACATGATCATCGTGGTAATTTTTTTAAGGGCTAAAAATTGTGAAACACAATTTCTTTTGTAATAAAAATATATAAACTTTGAAGCATGATAAATGAAGCAACGTAACCCATTCTAGTTATCATTTAATTAGAGAAGGAATTGAAGCCTCAGTACACTTACCTCAAGTCCATACATATTATAGGTGTTCGTCAAATTTGGTTTTCTTTAATAATTTTGATGATATTGTAAATTTATACTACCTCTGTCCCATTTTATAACGTCTGTTTCGGTTTACGATGTTTGACTGAAATTATTTTCAAACCATTTTATATGACAAATGGAATAGAATTAAAAAATAAAAATTACATATTAAAAAACTACATCAAAAGATCTACAAAACTAGTAGTGACAATAATATTTTATTTTATCAAATTGCTAACGAAAATAGAGAAAGAAAGTGAATGAAGTTTGACCCTGTGAATAGTAAACATGCATTATAATTTGGGACGGAGGGAGTAATATTTTCTTTAAGTATTATCAATAATGATTGGGTGGCCCTGACCTTATATGTTTATTTATTCAAAAAATTTATATACAAAGACAAAAAAATGATTATATTGTCCAACGACCAACCCAAAAACTACTCATAGCAACTTTTCATATTTCAGCTTTTCGGATTCAAATAACCAACTTTAGCAATTTATTTTGATGTTTGACCAATGAAAATAGCCAAATGTCATCTCTAAAGCCATGATCCAAATATACTTGTTGTTTATTATCGAAGTACAATACTCTATATAAGTTTCAACGATACTTTACTTTTTTTTACCCCGTAAATATTAATAACTTAAGAAGCGTTTCAAATTGAATTCAAAAACGAGTTTTTTTACTTCTCCTTTCTTGAAATTCTCTACAACTTGTTTCCACAACATATATTTCTCCAAATTCCAACTTTGCCCAAAAGTTACTACAATTTACCCATTCTCATAAATAAATTTTTTAAAAACATGATTAATGGCAAAGAAAAGGCCGGGCATTTGTACTAACTTGGATGGGTATAGGATGAAGGCCTTGTTTGAAAACAACGTTTTCGATTAGCGTTAGCATTTTGCATAAAATTTTAACGATGTAGATTAATTCTGAAAACGCTAACGCTATAGGCTACTGTCGGATAACCTTTTTAAAACACTAACGCTAATCTCTAACGCTGATCTCAAATAGGGACGAAATTAAGTGATAAAAGAGGGAGGAATGGAGGATGCATGCATGAAGACGTGTTCCGTTAATGGCCCTACTTATTTCTTTCCTTCTCTTTGGTCCTAAAATGACCAATTGACATGACTCTTAATCAATCCATTGAGGTAGTTGAATTGGTTTTATTATGAGAAATTCATTTGATCTAATGTTATAAGTGCATGTTTGCCCATCCAAAAAAAAGCTAGGAAAATAAATCTTTTCATTACATAGAATTAAAATGAGTGGCAGATTAAAAAGTGTTTTTCTGCGTTAGTACTTATTAACTTATTGCTGGAAATTATTTTTAGCTTATAAGCCTTCTTATTGATGTCCTTTATATTTTTTCTAAACTAACTTAAATGAGAGGCAAGTCATTTGAGAATGTTTGTAAAAAAAAAGGTTGCATATGGTTTTGGTCAAAACAAAAAAAAAACAGATTAAAAAATAAATAGGTAAAATCTACGATTACTTATTTTTGTATTATAAACAACTTATAAGCGTAGAAACGTGTCTATCAACTGATTTATGCATTAAAAAACAACAAATAAGTAAGCACATAGAAACACAACACAGAGATTTTTCCCAACTCACAATTATCTATTGATTTGATATAATTGTAAATATAATAATAATAATAATAATAATAATAATAATAATAATAATAAGACAAGCGAAAACAAGAGAAAATAATGTAAAAGAGTTCTTTTTATGGAAAGTTTACATGAGCTGAAGTAGGAAAGTGGTGACTATCTGCTGAAGTAAGAAATTTGTCTTTCTTGGACCACATCCAAATCTTTGAAACAGAAAAGCTCTCCCCTTTACTCCTAATGCCAATCCTCTTCCCATCTCTATCTCCACCATTACTGAAATTCCCATTCTGCCCTCCTCCTCCTCCTCCCACCTTCATCTTCCCGCCGCCAGCTCCAAAACCGCCCGGTGCCTGGCCACGCCACTCCACCCGCAGCTCGGAATTGGCCACCACGTATTGAAAAGAACCCATAGAGTAACACCTCCTCGCGCCCACATTGCACTCGCTGGTCTCTCCCCTTTCCTCTTCTTTCCCTTCGCCATTACCTGAGGTCCTGAGCTTTCCCAGCCTCACGGAAAAGACCCGTTTTTCGGTCACAATGGAAAGGGCATTTTCGTCATCTTCAACCGGAACTCCAAGATCCCTGGAAACCACATCGCCATCTTCTCTAAGCTCATCAAAGTGGAAGATTGGGTTCTCGATGCAGAAATCCGGGGCAAAAAGGACCCCTCTGCAAAGAGGGCAAGTTGAATTTGACAACAGCCATGTGTCTATGCAATCCACATGGAAGGCATGGCTGCACAAAGGAAGCAACCGGAGATCATCTTGATCCAAGAACTCGCAAAGACAAACCGCGCAGTCAAAGGGCTCTTTCAGGCCCATTATGTCCTTGTATGTGAAAACCGGGAGCGCGTCAATGAAGGCCTGGTCCAGGCCAGAGTCATGGAGATGGAAGAGCTGCTGCAGCTGCCTTTGAACGACGAAACTTCCTCCAGAGTGTGGGATTTCTTGGGTTGTTCTGGTGGATTGGGAGAATGAGAAAGATCGTCTGCGTTTTGTCAGGAATCTTACAAGAAAGTGGAGAACGCCGGCGATGAAGAATATCACGGATAGGACTACTATGATTAGAAGAAGTGCCGGGCTGATTCTAGAACCAGATGAAGAAGATGGAGATGGTTTTGGTGTGTTAGATTCCCACATCGGAAAATTAAAGACGATGAACATGCCCTTCATGAGCTTAACCAACTGAGAAACTCCTACTCAATCATGAATTTACAACCAAAGAACCAACTCAACTGAAAGCTTGAGCTTTAGGACCTCTGGGTCAGCAAGATCAACAAGACTCTCATATCATATCAAAGAACCAACTCAATCAAACGCTAAGACTCGGGACTGCCATGAATTGGACTGGATTCAAATCGATGAAGAAGATGCATCTTACTATCTTAGAAACATGGGAATCCAAAGAGTTATCACTGAGCTAAACTATTTCTGGATCAAATTGAGTTTTGTTTGTTCAAAAACCCACTAGAAAGAAAGAAAAATCCAATCTTTTTTTTACAAGAAATTGACAGTAACATCAAAGAAAGGAAGAAATATTGACACCCAGATATGAATTCCCAAGAACACAGAATTTAAATAGAAGAAGAAGAAGGATTTGACAGGATTGCAGTTCACCCGAGCTCAGGCTGCAGAACTTGAACTTGGCTGCTTCTAATGGCGTTTCAAGAAACCCTAGCAGTCCAATTGTAAAGATTTTGAGGCTAAGGCACTTGGGGGAAGAAAATGGGGGGGAGGAGGAGAAAGGAGAGATGCGGATTCTTTGTAAGAGATAAAACTCCCAAATCTGTCACGCTCTTCCCACAAACGGTAGGGACGGTGGAGAAATCATCTTTATTTTCTCTTTCTTTGTTTTTTCTATTTGCTACTCCCTGCATTTGAATGCCCACTTTTCGCCTCTAATGTTTAACTAAAAATATTTTTTAAATGGACATAGTATTAATAAAACATTATTAAAAATAATACATTAAAAATATATTTTTTAATGCCAATAATTTAGTACGTATAACTTTTATATTTTATGGAGTAATTTATTATACTTCATACTACCTCCGCCCCGCTATATTCGTCCACTTTTGACTTTTGAAACTGTTCATCTAAGTACTTTAACTCATCAAATTCTTTCAATGTGTAAGCCTAAATATATTCATGTGTGATCTTGTTTAATTTTTCTTAACATATAGATTATCAATATACAATTTTTATAATTTTTTAATATATAAATTACAAGATAAAATGGATTAAAGAAGTGTATTGGATGGTGTGTAAAAATGAAAGTGGACAAATACTCTGGGACGGAGGGAGTAACTCTCTATAAATAGAGATATAAGAGCATTTAGACTCAAGTCACATCAGTATTCCACTAATTTTCAACTCCGCCCCAAAATTCTGCAATGTTATCGCCCTTAAAATTTTGCCTCTCCATTTCTTTAATATTATTTATCATTTTTAATTCAAAACTTATATAAATTTAATACAAATTAAAATTATTTATGGTCAAAGTTAGCATATAAATCAAATTAAAACAAATAGTTTTGCTATTCTTGTTCAAAATAAATTTCAAACTTTTTTAATGAAAGAAGTGTGTGGGCATTTGATTCACAATAGTACACACTCCTTTTTTAAATCTTAATACAAGCTATGGAATTTATAACATAACAGAGATCAAATATTTCTTCACTCTAAAAAGTGATGCTCGTAATTTACTATAGAACCATAGAATCATATTTCAAAATTCTAAAATATTAAAAAATAAAATGAGTTCTAAAATTTTAATACTGTTTTTGATTCAAGAAATTTGGAAAGAAAAAAATATTATTATTTTCATTTTTCTTACAAATAAATTGTATTTTCCCTCTTCTAAATATGTTTTGTAATCTTACTTTTTGCTTTCCACTCTTTTTATTCACCTTTCAAATTAAATAAAAAAATTATTTTTTTTATCCCATTTTGCTCTACTTTTCATTACAAATTCTTTGAACTAAATATATTGTAGATTTAAAAAAATTGAAAAAAAGCCCCCAAAAAAATGAAGCGGGAATTTCAAGGGCCACCGCACGGACGCTCCTCTCACTCTAGCTTAATCCCTAATCCATCTGCAAGCAAAAAAAATGAGAGGTGGCAAGTGATTGGCACCGGAGTCAACGTGGCGGAGTGCGGCGGTCGTCGAGACAGACTGGCGGAAAGCTGCCGGCCGGACTTTCTGTTAACCAATATTCAGGTTTACATGTTATCTCATTTCAACAATTTTTTTGCCTTTTGTTGCTGGCTTGTTGCTTTATTGTATAAAATTTAGTTTTTGTATTTGTTTAAATGTTTAATACCAATAAATTGTGTGTTTCATTTCAATTACCGTATAAACTAAAAAACAATTCTCAATTAAATTTTAAAATTTAAAATGAAATTTAATATTTACAGGTTTTAGAAGAGTTCTTCAACATTTTTGATAGCTAGCCTTCTCAAAAATAATGTTTCCAAAAAAGTACGCATCGGGATGTGAAAAGCTTAAGAAGAAAAGGAGACTTGAGAAATTGATAGAATCTCAAAAGGGAGCTCTTGACAAATTCCTTGTAAAACATAGCAATGAAGATGAACAGCAAGAAGAAATGAGCAATCTAACAGTTGATGCTGACGAGAATGTTCATGAAGATGACCGAATTGATAATGATGAAGCGGGAAAATCGATTGGTAATGAGGTATTTGAGAATGTTGAAACAGTGGGAAATAATTCTCGGACAAGTGATAAGCCTATGGATTCTGCTTTGCTTGACATATATGATCCGAGAAATTGGAACACGCTTGATTCTAAGTCGATAGATGTTTTGGTGAAAAATGGTCCTAAAAGAGATGCATCCATAGTGAAAGGGCCAAAAGATAAGTTCTCTAGGAGATTTTCTTCAACATTTTTCACAAGATATTTGGCTAATCAAGAGCGGATTGATAGAGATTGGCTAGTTTATTCAAACGAGCTTGATAAAGTCTTTTGTTTTTGTTGTAAGATTTTTAAAAAAGGCGGTGGAAGAAGTTCCTTGGTGAACGATGGATTTTGTGATTGGAAACATCTTAACGGAAGGCTAAGAGAGCATGAAACAAGTGTTGATCATATGAGTAATTTGAAAACATGGAGAGAAATGCGAAGACGATTAACAAAAGACGAGAGAAGTGATAAAGTGGTAGTGGCCCAGGGTCAACTTCTGAAAGAAAAAGAGTATTGGAGAAAAATATTGCTTAGAATGATCTCACTCGTGAAGTTTCTTTCTAAACATAATTTGGCATTTCTTGGGGAAAATGAGCGGTTGTATGAGAGCAATAATGGGAATTTCTTGGGGCTGATTGAAATGTTGGGCGAGTTTGATCCCGTCATTCAAGAGTACATTCGACGTGTACTGAAGAATGGTATTCATCACCATTATTTGAGTCAAAAGATTCCAAATGATTTGATAGAGATGCTTGCTTCAGGGATCAAGACTAGGATAATTGAGAAAATCAATGAATCAAAATATTATTCGGTGATACTAGATTGTACTCCTGATGTGAGTTACGAAGAACACATGTCTTTGATATTAAGATGTGTAGATATCTCAATATATCCAATAAAAATAGAAGAATTTTTCTTGGAATTCTTGGCGGTGAATGACACAACAGGCAAAGGTCTTTTTGAAGAATTGCAAAGTGTGTTGGAATCTCTTGATCTTGACATTGACAATGTGAGAGGCCAGAGTTATGACTATGGATCAAACACGAGAGGGGAAAATCATGGTGTGCAGAAAAGACTCTTAGATGTAAACCCTAGAGCATTTTACACTCCTTGTGGTAGTCACAGTCTTAACTCGACTTTGTGTGACATTGCACGTTGTTCGGGCAAGGTAAGAGACTTCTTTGGAGTAGTCCAACGAATTTACTCATTATTTGCTAGCTCTACAAAAAGATGGCAGATATTGACGAATAATGTGAAAGGATTGACACTAAATTTTTTATCAACTACTCGATGGGAGAGTCGCGTGGAATTTGTGAAAGCTATCAGATTCCAGATTATTGATATTCAAGAGGCCTTGCTTGAACTCGTAGACACAGAAAATGATGCAAAAACGCTAAGCCAGGCGAGATCGCTGGTTGAAAGTGAGTTTTGTGATTTTGAGTTTTTGGTAGCCACAATTGTTTGGTATGACATATTGTACGCTGTTGATCCGGTTAGCAAGAATTTACAAGCAAAAGACATGCTTCTTGATGTTGCCATTGCTGAACTCAAAGGGCTAATTTCTTTCTTTGAGAAGTACAGGGACAATGGATTCACTAATGCTTTACATGTTGCTAAAGAAATTGCTGCTGAATTGGAAATTGAACCATTGTTCCCACAAAAGGTTGCAATTCATAGGAAGAAACAATTTGAGGAGACTCATGACATCATTGATGATCCTCATCCACCACCGTTACCAGAGGAACTATTCAGGGTGAATTTCTTTTTATACATACTAGATCGGGCTATTGGCTCATTCACCCAAAGATTCGAGCAATATAAAGCATTCGAAAGTATTTTTGGGTTCTTGTTTAGTTTGGAGAAGTTACAATCTTTGAGTGATATGGACTTGGAATCATGTTGCATTCGTTTGGAAGCGGCTCTTAAGATGGATGACCAATGTGTTGATATTGATGGGAGTGATTTGTGTGTTGAGCTCAAAGTGCTTAGAGAGAAATTACCAAAGGAAAAATTGGGAGCTGGAGGCATACTAAATTTGTTGAAAATGATGGGCTCTCTTCCAAATGCTTTTATTGCATATAGAATATTGTTGACTAATCCTATCACACTGGCTTCGGCCGAACGGAGTTTTTCAAAGTTGAAGTTGATCAAGTCATACTTACGATCAACTATGCCACGAGAGAAGCTCAATGGATTGGCGTTGGTATCAATCGAATCCAAAACACTTGAAGAAATTGAGATTGACACTTTGGTGGATGATTTTGCATGCAAGTGTGCCAAGGGTAATGTCTCTCTTTTAATATGAAGTTTTTATTGGTACTGAAACTCTGAAAGAGGCAGTGTATGCCCTGGCTTGATTGATGCCTTTGTATCTATATTTTGATAATTGCTCTTTTGCTTTGTTTTGGCTTTACTTTTTCTCTGCAAGATGCTATGGAGGATCAATCCTTGTACTCTATTGGGTTTTTGCACCCCATTAAACAAAAAGCTCTCTTTTTTTAAAGAAAGAATTTAGTAATGACTTGTATTCTTTTGTACAAAAAAACATGCCCAAAATGAATCTATTCCCCCGGGCCCTACTCTGTATAGGATCGGCCCTGGTGATAGGGGTTGGTGGCTGGCGACGGGGGTGGCTAGCGGCGTGGGTTTTCAGTAGTCGAAATAGATCAAACTCTTAGATTAATATATTCAAAATTCGAGAGATATCAAAAGATACAAAACACATCCATTTGGGAGGGTTGTTATATTTGGAGATATCAAATATGAATCTTGTTTAGACTAAGATCTTGTTCTCTTCACCCGATTTGATTGATTTTGATTTGATCTGCTTTGATTTGATCTTGGTCTTATTTGATCTGACCTAATTGTAGGTATATTTAAAAGTTGTTTATGATCTTGTCTTCTGATTCCAATAAAAATAAGTAATAATAACAAATTCTTAACAAAACACTCACAAAAAGATTGTGATATTGAGAGAGGATAGTAATAAAGTTATGAAATTTTATTTTTCTTTTGGGATTTCATTCAATTCACACACATTCTCTGGTGATGGTATATTTTTAGGTTATATGCCCAGTGTCTTTATTAGTTGGCCATATTGTCCCTCCATGTTTATGGGCTATGAATTATTTATTTATATCATCTGTTCATTGTTAATTATAAATTTATTATCCTTCATGAATTAGGAGGCTACCAATGGATTCATGAAGAAAGGTACCTTTTTCTTACACCTAAATTGAGAGCATGCAAAATTTAGTCATACACTTCTCATTGAATGAAAACATTACCAATTGTCTTCCTACCACTTGCATATATTTTCTGCCTATACAAACAGTGCCATGATCTATATAAATATTGTCTTGTTTGGCCTAATATTCCATCCCTTTCATATTAAAGAATTCCACACAAATTAGGACAAATTATATAAATGACTAAAATAATAGCGTAAGAAAGTGTTAGTGGACTTTGATTTTACTGGAATTACGTATCTCTTTTCACTCACCGACGGTTGTCTACCCACTCTCGAGTCATGCCTCCACACTTTTAGAGGGATGATATCATGGAGTATGATTTCTTTATTTTAATCCCTCACATCCCCTGAGAGCATGGGCACCGGGCGAGACAGTTGTCTGCCACACAGGGTGCCCAGGTTGCCGAGGCATAGGTGTGGCACTAAACCCATCAGTTTTTAAATTTTTTTTATGGAGAAAAAAAACCTTTTTTTTGTACGGAAGTGGAATTATTTTTCTGATAAAATGAATAAAAAATGTACTCCGTAATTTTTAATAGATAAAACACAAAATAATGTAAAAGTGATAAAAGTAATGAATTGCCACTACACAACCTGTCACTTGCTGATTGAACTATTTTCGATTGGTTAAAATATCTTAGTCAACATGAGAGATTCGATTTTTTAACTCACCATAGTTTTTGTTGCTTTCTCTTCTTGTTGTGGGTTGTTTCTTGTCCTAACTGTGAGGGTACACATATAGCTCAAGTTTAGGGGTGTGCATCGATCCAAACCCAAATCGGACCGGGACCGAATAAGTCACTTTTCTTGGACCGGGATCCGGCCCACACAAGATAAGCAGCAGCTTGGGACCGGACCAGTAAAATCTGGACCAAACCGGGACGGGACCGAATTAGGCTAAATTTTTTTATATTTTAAAATCAATCTTATCTATTTTGTTTAAAATGTCCACTTGTAAAAAAAAGTATTACCATTACAAATTTGTAATGTGTAACACGCTAATGGAATTGACTGGTATTTTTGAGCTAAAACGCACACTATGTGTTCGACAAAATGCTCCTAAGACCTCTTCGTATGTGGTTTTTTATCCATCAAGAATGCTTCAATGATGCGTCAAATGTATAGAAACACTCCTAGATCGTTGGACCATCCTTGGACTCCGCTGCGCTCTTCACGTGCCGCCACAAGTGTTTTTAAAGAATCTATATATTCCTTTCGTCCTAAAGTATTCTTCATACGTCCATTGTGTTTTGTTCATAATTTTTTTCTCATTTCTTTTTAGAGCATTGGCAACCGTGTGGCATAGCGTCACCTCGCCCTCAACCTCCTTCCCCTAATCTCGTGGCGTGGCAAGGGCGGGTCACCTTGCTCGCCGTTGCATGCACGTATATCTATGTTTATGAAAAAATACTTTTGTAAAATAAATTTTAATAATAAAAAATGCATCAAAAGAGTGTGAAAACTGACAAAAATAGGTCGTTATTCCATGACATACCGCTTCACTCTCTCGTCACACGCTGATAAATTAATTTTTATTGATTGAAATAATATTCCACATCACCATATCATATACTCCCTCCGTCTAGGAAAATATGAGAGTTTTGGTTTTGGAGATGAATTTAAGAGGAATGTATTTTGGTATTGAATTTCCAAAAATGTCCTTTGATGTGATGAATAAAAGTATAATTTGATGGATAGATTATTAATAAAAAGGTATGATGTGATAGGTAGGGTATAAAAAAATAATGGGTAAAAGTAACTTTTTAATAGAAATGAAAAATGTTTTTTGGGACAGATGAAAAAAGAAAGGAAAAAGGTTTTGTGGCACGGGGAGTATTTTTCTGTCTCACCCTTCTTAATTACGGAGTATATGGCAAAAGCTGTTTGCCTTACATGTCATCAAATTTACCTTTTTACTTTTAATGATTAGCCATCAAATCATCAATCTTTATCTACACCTTTCACCCGTCCAAAAGTGGAATCGCCCACCCCAGGCACCCCCACCCCCTTGCCCGACATGAATGATGGAGGATGTAAATCATGGTGACTCAGTCGGCCAAGAACGCTAGACCCGTGCCCACCGCGCACAAGGAGCCTTCTCACCCTTTATGCGATTTTTGGATAGCTCTCATACTGCCGCTTGCGGGACCTTTCACTTAACATCATACGGAGTACAAGCAAAGGTTAATATATAAGTCATTTTTTAATCTCTTACTCCCTCCGTCTCTAATTATTTGCCACATTTATATTCTCGAGGAAAAATATCAAGTTTTTTCAATTCATTTTATTTACATATTGGTAAAGAAATAAAAAATAAAATTTACATATAAAAAAACTACATGAAAAGTTCTTCGAAATAAGAGGTGTCAAGAATATTTTATTTTATCAAATAATCAATGAAAACGTCGAAATAAACAAAAGTTCCCGACACTACTGAAAAAACAAATGTTGTGAATATTTAGGGACGAAGGGAGTATTAAGCAAGCATATTAGGTCAAACCAAGAAGGTTTATTTTTGGATAAAAGAAGTACTGGTAATTAAGCTAGCAACCTTAATTCAAGCAACAAATAATCAAGAGGGTAGGCTACATTATTATTGTTAACTTAGTACTTCACCCCTCATAAATAATTATAACAATAATCAATTATAATCCCTCACATTCAAATCATAATGATACCCATAATTATGGTGATGATGATTATAAGACATGGAGCTGCTACTCTCTCCAACATCCTTGCAGTTATTAATGTTGTCTTCATAATTATTGTTGTTGTCTTCATACTCCCCTTCATCATACTCTTCCTTGGCCACCATCCCCTGCGGCCGCCCGATGCCGCCGCCCGACCCCGCCAGGTAGTGAGGCGACGTGGCGGGGACCACGCTGGGGAGCTTGGAGAGAAGGGCTTCTAGGCTTGTCATTGATGGGGTCACCAGCTTCACCATCGCCGCCGGTTGGGACTGGTTGAAGTGGTGGTGGTCGTAGTACTCCGCTGGCGGCCCGACCGCCATAATATTGGCGGCCGGAAAATGCGACGGCGGCCACGGTTCCTGACCGTAGCCGCCGCCGTCTGTCCTCATCGGGTACCCCGACGAGGACGGGTGCGGGAGCAGGACTCCCGGGATGCTCTCTATGTAGCCGAACTTTTTTCTTAGTAACACCACATAGCTCAAGTCTTCAACAACCTAATAAGTAATAACCATAGTATCAAAAATATAAATTAAAATGTGTTTAGTTAATTATGTGGTCAAAATTAAATTATGAATGTATAATACTGTAACATTTTTTTTCTATTGGGATGAATACCGGTGTTAGGTTCTTGGGAAATGTGGAATTAGTTGCATTGTTGAGAAATTTCTAAAAAATTGACGCAGTTTGAATTTTTTGGTCAAATTGTGGCATTCTTTGACCACAAATTAACAACAGTTTAAAATAATTAAATGTTACAAAAATTTGATATTTAAAACTATATTTTAAAATAAATTTAATTTTACTAAACTTAGATCATAACTAATTTTTTTTCATAATTTAGTGTCTAAAAGTGTCACAATTTGACTAAAAAGGTCAAAATGTGGCAATTATATATTAGGGGAACACATGATATTGTGGTACAGACAACAGACACCCACGAGCAATGTGTTTTCATGTAACACAATCTTTTTTTCATTATAGTATATACTCCAATAATTAAATTTGCCAACTTTTTGTGTAAGTTACTCCGTACATTTTTTTTTAAAAAAAATTGGTACAAGTTCATGTTCTAAAAAGAAATTGCAATGAATTTTGTGAGTGATATTTATTTTGAGATTATATTGATAAACAATTGAAAAAATAGGAACTGTAAAAATGTAATGATTTGAATCGCTTAAAAATCTATATACTTTGAGAATGGTAAAAATAGATTATTTTGAGAGAAATCAAATGTGATGATGGATAGATGTAGTGTCCAAGTCTCTTTGATAACAATTTTAGTGTCTAATTTAAAAATATTGAATATATTATTTATCGACAGTGTTTAGTTTTATTTGCCATTTTAAAATTAGTTTATACTATTAATACTTATTTGAAATAATGTTAATTTGAAATATTGTACCTTATGAACAGCTCCCAATTGGATAACACCTTCTCTAACAGCAATCAAAGCTATGGTCTGCATGAAACGAAAAATAACATCATTAAATAGAGTTTATTTTTTATTTTTTTGATCAAAATTAGTAAACTTTGATTTCAAATTAAATATACACACCTTAATCCCGGATCGAAATTGAGCCTCCCAAGTCCTTGGATGCTGTTCCATCAAAATATATAAATTTAAATTAGTGATT